ATTAGTCTGTAACTGTTACTTTTCTCCGAATCATGGAAGTCCTCCTCCCTCCTCTTGGTGTAATTTGGCATCGCAGCAGAGCAGCCGTGTTCCTGTGCAGACAAGCAGGGTGTACAGCTGTGAGGACGAGGCATGACTGAGCATATCGAGTGGAGACGCACCGCTCCATGAGCGCCTTTCTGCATTGTTTTTACCCGTGTGTGTGCATGCATGCTCTGGCTTATTTGCAAATTTATTTCCATGGGGCCCCCAGCAGCAGCAGCCGCAGCAGCAGCAGCTAACGACTTTGCTGTTCCCCATGTAAATAACTTGGCCACAAACACGTTGTGAAACAAAGTAGATTTATTTCCTGAACACAACGACTGTATTTCTGTTGCACAACACAATCGTGGGAAAATCATTTCACTGCTCAGTGTGGTGTCACAGTTTATCCTTTGATACAGTGCTGGAGCTGCTGGGGGTGCAGAGAGGCTGTGTAGCCAAACAAAAACATGCATGTGTCACACCGAACCCTGTAATTAGGTTTCACTCAGCAGAGGGACCTTCGGCGCTGTGATGTAGGGAGGAAAGGTCACACTAACAGTGGTCGTGTGCTTTAAGCACATTTATCTCTGTGGGTGCAGAGCTGCACGTCCACAGGACGAGTGCTGATCTGTGTGTGTGTGTGTGTGTGTGTGTGTGTGTGTGTGTGCTCAGAGTGAAGTGGTGGGCCTGGGGAAGCAGTGTGGACTCTCGCAGAGAAAGATCCAGACCTGGTTTAGACACAGAAGGAACCAGGACAGACCCAGCAGCACCAAAAAGTTCTGCGAGGCCTCGTGAGTTTTTCTTCTCATGTCGTTGAGCCATTTCCTGTTGGACAGATGTCACATCTTTGTCTGATCTCATAGAACTATATAGTTCATTTACACAGCATCCGCTAATAAGGGGGTGTCAAACATAAGGCCCAGGGGCCAGAATGGGCCCAGCAAAGACACCGAGCCGGCCCACTAGATGGCTTTGGAAAATGTAACAACATTTAAGTTTTATAGCTTTTCCACAGTGGAGCTTCATGCTGCACCAAAGTAATTACTACCATGTAAATGACATTTTCAAAACTATCATCCAGGTCATGATAGTTTTGTTCCTAAACTAAAGCTTTCGTGTCACTCGACTCGTCCATTTAAAATCAAACTGGGCCACTGTGACATCGCAGCGCTAATCGATGACGCGTCTGTTCTTATCTGCAGCTGGCGCTTCGTCTTCTACCTCACGTCGTTCACAGCAGGGCTCGGCTCGCTAATTGATGTAAGTGTGTCGTCACTTTTTTCTTTAAAAGACTCGAATCCTTTCACTGAATTTTGAGAATCTACATCTGCTTACTACGATGTTTGAATAAGATCGAGGCGAAGAGATTTATCGTTTCCTTTATCTTCTAGACGCCGTGGTTCTGGGATCAGAGCGAGTGCTGGAGGGGTTATCCCAAACAGGTAGGACACAGATTTTGCTGTTGGGGTTTGCAGAAAGTGTAAAATGAGTCGTAGATTCTTTAATTTATGGTCATTTGATTCTTTTCTCTGTTGTTAAGTTAACGTTTATATTCATGAAGAATTAGGTGGCAGAGACGTCTGTGAGCTGAAACTGAAAATCTGCTTCAGCCGGTCTCTAAGAACAATAGGATCTACTTAAAGCAAGGAAAGTGCAGAAGGAGCACGCTGATCGTTTTTAACGCAGACTCCACCCAGAATGTTTCAACTCCGACTTCCTTGACTGCAAAGCTCTGAATGCTTTTGTGGTTTTTAACTTGCCGTGTGGATGATGGCACACATTCTTCCCTGGAAGCCACGACTCTCTTTAGCTGCATTTAACTGATAACAGCTCTGCTACTGCAGACTTGATTTTTTTAGGGTATTTTAGGGTAAATACCTCAGTCAACTTCCTGTCATTGTGTCGCTGCAAACTTTCACTCTTGAGTCTTCTCCAAATGTTTTTCTTTAAGATTACGCCATGACTTCCTGTGCATGAAGCACGTCCTCTGTGCTTGTAAATGAGAGCGAGGAGTTCTTACGTGGCCACTGAACCTTTGCTAGACTTCACCCCTGCAGCTATCAGACAGGTGAAGCTGTAAATACTCAGCAGAGTTGAATATCTGTCTCCACTACCCCAAAAAGCCCAGACCTGCTTCAGCACACTTAAAGGAATCAGTTCAGAAAACTGTTTCTTAAAAGCATGTAGTTAGAGTTCAGTGATTAATAGGGCTGCCACAAACGATTATTTTGATAGTTGACTAGTCACTGATTATTTTTGCGATTAGTCGACTAATCAGATCATCATCCATTGGATGTAAAAGTACAGCTTATTGCACCAGCAGCATCTGCTCTTATATAACTATCATTAGCTTACAGCTTTAAGTGTTT